TAAAGCCATTCTCCCTGCCAGGCCAAGGTGCTGCAGGCCAGGTGAGGGAAGATGGGGCTTGTTCACGTTGGGTGATGAATGCCTCCATGTCAGCCCTGGGATGGGAGGCTCTGAGTCTTCATCCTCACTACGGGGTCAGCTGACGGTCCAGGCCAGACTTCCAAAGCTTGGTTCAACAGTATAAGGAACACAGTTAGAGCTGTGATGTCCGTCCCTACGGTGAGTGTGACAGTCAGGTGAGCCGGCTGTTCTCAAAGTACCAGGTGAGGGTAGCCCGATACAGCATTTCATCATGAGGTCTTGGAGTTCCCTGGGCCAGGGCCATCCTGGGGGAGTTACCTGTTCCTGGTGCAGGTGGCTAGGCAGGGTCCCCTCTGGTTTATCTTTTCTGTGTCTGTTTTCCACTGTTAAAACAGAGCTACTGCAGATCATTTGACTCACAACCTTGGGTCCTAACAGCCCAAGATCAGGCTCCTCGGCCTCCCTTCAGGGTACACAGGGCTATCTATGGCTCCCCATCACCTCGGCCTCTGGTTAGGACCCCTGAGGCTGTCTATGGCCCCCCATCACCTCGGCCTCCGGTTAGGACCCCTGAGGCTGTCTATGGCCCCCCCCCATCACCTCGGCCTCCAGTTAGGACCCCGGGGCTGTCTATGGTTCCCCATCACCTAGGCCTCTGGTTAGGGTCCCCCCAGCTGTTCCGGTTAGGACCCCCGGGGCTGTCTCATGGCAGATGGCATCATGGAAGACATGCACGAAGGAGGGAGAGATCGCCAGCAAGATGGGATGACAGAGTAGGGAGGGGCAGGTCTTACTTCTTTAAAAAATTTAATTTTAGTGTATGAGTGCTTTTCCTGAATTTGTGTATATGTGTTATATATGTGCCTGGTGCCTACAAAGACCAAAAGAGAATGTCAACCCCCAAACTAGAATTTATAGACAATCGTGAGTCACTATGTGGATCATGGGAACCAAGCCCAGGTTCTCTGTAAGAGCAGTGCATACTCTTAACACTGAGCCATTTCTATGCACCCCCCCCTACTCTTTTATAATGACCCTAGTCACCAGAGAACTCCACTAATCCCTCCCAAGGACACTATCCCAGCAACCTGACCACCTCTCAGTAGGTCCCACTTATTAAAGGTTCTGCCAGCTCAATACCACAGGGTACCTCGCAATCCCATCATACCGTTCTCATTGCTGAGACGCAGCTTGAGGAAGGAAGGCTTCATTTTGGCACAGTTTAGAATATGCGTGTGTCTGTGTAAGTGGGATGTGCGTAAAATACAGGCGCCTGTGGAGTTCAGGAAGAGGGTGCTAGCGCCTCCGAGCTGCCTGGAACTGCAGTTACAGCTGTGTGAGCCACTTGGCATGGGTGCGGGACTGAACTCGGGCGAATTCTTTAATGAGGTTTATGGTTGTTGTTTTAAAGTCAGCATGCTGGAGTCCTTCTGGGTAATTCTTGGCATCAGTGAGATCTGTGCATCAGTCCTGTCTGGCATGGACAGAGCAGGTTAGGGTGGAAGGGAGGATGCAAAGGGTGACTTGGCCAACAGGTTGAAAATGGTTTAGGTGGGATGAAATCGGGGACGGGACGGGACTGGTGTGCCGGATGTGTGTCCTGGTCCAAGCCTGGAGTGTGTAGATCTGGCTGGCTGGACGTACTGGGGGTGGTGCTATGGGTCTAGGCAGGCAGGTCAGGCTGGGGAAGGCTTGTGAAAGGGATGATCAGGCAGACTCCCAGCTGCCTGTAGCTCTAGTTCCAGAGACTGATCCCCTCTTCCTGTCTTCCTCAGGCACTTCACCAACTTTGTGCACACACATATACAATTGAAATAATAAGTCTTTAACTTAAAAGAAAATAAGATGGCAGACTGGAGAGATGGCTCAGAGGTTAAAAACACTGGCTGCTCCTCCAGAGGTGCGTTCAAGTCCCAGAAACCACATGGTGGCTCCCAACCATCTAATAATGAGATCTGGTGTCCTCTTCTGCCATCCACGCACACATGCACGCAAAACACTGTATAAATAATAAAGATTCATGTTTAAAAAAAAGAAAATGGGATGGCAAAGTGATTGAGGAAGACACTTGGCATTGTACTTAATAGTGAAATTAGTGCTGACATATGAAAATCAGGAGACTTCTCTTACTGAAGATGTCTGTAATCCATCATCATCCTGCCTGTGTCCCCACGAGCAGGCAGCAGACACCAAGTGTCAACACCCTGTCCCTCTACGAGGTGTTTTGGTTTGGTTTCTGTTGCTGTGACAAAGACCAAAGGTGACTTGAGAAGCAAAGGGCTTATTTCCTTTACCCATCCCAATAGCAGCTCATTACCAACGGAACCCAAGGCAGGACCTCGGGCAGGGCAGGAACCTGGAGGCAGGAACTGAAGCCGACGCCATGGAGAAACACAGCATACTGGCTGGCTTCCCGTGGCTTCCTTAGCCTGTTTTAGTCCACAACACAGACCACCTATCCCCTGTGGTGGCACCGCCCACTGTGGACTGGGCCCTCCCACATTAATCCAGTGCCTTGCAGCTTGCCTACAGGTCCATCAGGAGGGGCAGTTTCTCGACTGAAGATCCTCTTCCCTCACTGGTGTCAGCTTGACAAAATGATCAACCACACAGAAGTGTGCTCCACGGGTGACCGATGTCCCCTCTGAGGATGTTCCCTCACTTTTAACCAGAAGGGTCCGTGTTCTCCGCCTTGACACACTGTGCCTCAATGGCTACTTCACTTTCCCCAGGCAGCCCCATATTCCTTCTCCCGCAGCTGCTGGGGCTGCCTCTGAAGCCCCTCAAACATCTGCTCCTCTTCCAAAAGTAGCAGTGATGTGAATTCAGCTCCCCTGGGCATGGCGAGATGGCAGCCTGAGTACAGCAGCCCTGGGCATGGCGAGATGGCCTAACTTATGAGCACGGATTCCTCAGCAGGGTACCTGCGTTCAATTCCCAGCACCCATATGGCAGCTTTGAGTCATCCATAGCTTCAGGCGATCTGACATTCTCTCCCAACCTCCACAGTCACCAAGTACACTTACATATAGGCAGACAAACAATCAGGCACAAAACTAGAACAAATCTTGTTTTTCAAAAAAGACAACACCAGGTCATGTTTTAAAAGCTTTGATTTTTAAAAATGTTAATACAGCAAAAAGCACTGTCCTGACAAAAATAGTGTGTGCAAAATATCGGCTGGGAATCTCTGAAAGCTGAGAATGATCCTTGGCCCAGCCTGGCCCTCCCTCTATGTGTGTGCAATTGGATGTTACAGTACACCAAGCAGATGACATTTTGAGGCTCAGTTCATTCCTACTTGCCTCCTCCCTTTTCCCTCTCCAATGCAGGGGCCAGAGGAGGGGGAGAGAGATAAGGCCTCTGCAGTCGGGCAGCGGGCAGCGAGCGTGAGGCCCAGTCTCCAAGGGCAGATAGGTCCAAGGCCTGGGGACCTCCCTGCCTTAAAAGGCACAGGAATTCCTGTGGGAAAAGGAGCTGGTGACAGGAATATCAAGGTCACTGTGTCACAAGCTAGTCACAAGTACTCTGGGCCTTCTCCAAACCTTCCCTCCAGTCTGGGCATCAGGAATCACGCAGCAGCCAGAGCTGGGTTCCAGGGGCTCATGAACTCTCAAGACTGCAGGAAAATTGTCCATGAGCATCTTGGGGTGGGGAGGAGTCGAGCATTCATTAGAATTCAAAGGACTCTGAGACCCAAATAATTATTCGAGGACAGTAGCAATTCAAAAGCTAATCCACATCAGGATTCTGATACAGAGATGCCCCGCCCCTCTCCACATGGCAATCACTGCTTTATGGGAAATGAGAGTTGTAATCATCAAATCAGATGGAGCTAAATGTGTCTACCAGAGGACAGTCTATGCTGCGTCGGGTGCTTCTCATTAGATTGTGTGCTTAAATCTTTATTGTTTTATATGTGTATGATTGTGTCTGTGTGTATGCACTGTGTACCATGTAGAGGTCAGAGGACAACTTTCTTTCCATGCACCATGGGTTCTGGGGTTCAAACTCCAGTCACCTCTGTGGGTGAGCTTTCAAGGTGTCAAGGTACAAAAGCTCCTTGAATCCCGGGTGGCACTCAGCGCTGGCTCCCATGCTCCCAGGGCAGGTGGCCTGAGATATCTTCATCTGTCTGCTGTGAACAGCGACTCTGGCGCCACCCCTCTCCACTCCACTCTTCTAGTTCCTTCTGGTTGGAGGGGGAGGGGCAGATACTACATTAGCTGGCTAGACTGCTTTATCAAAGTCTACAAAGCAACAGACGGGCATTGTCCTACGTTCTCCAGACTGGAGTCTGAAACGAAGGCTCAGGAGGGCCTCGTGTCCTTGAAAACTCACAAGGAAAATTGTTCCTTGTTTCTGTCCAGAGTCCAGTGGCCATCCATTTTTAGCTCTTTTTGGCTTTTATCTTCATCCCTCCAATCTCTGTCTCTGGCATCTCATAGTGTTCTCCTTGTGTGTCAAGTGCCCCTCTTCTTACAAGGGTATGAGCCCTGCTAGAGTAGGACCCGCTTCAGTTGCTCATTGAAACCTGATGGTTGGTAAAGACCCTGTTTCCAAACAAGGTAGCATTCAATGTGCCTTTTAGGAACAAAATTCATCCAGCAAGTCAAACCTGTCACCTCAAGGACCCTGCCACATCAGTCCCGTGTGCTGCCAGTGCCCACAAACACACCCTCCCCTGCACCCTTTGGGATGGCTGGGGTGGCCACTTTCCCTCCAGTAATAACTGCACACCTTACTCAGGGTACCTGTTCTGAAGGGGTCATTTTCCTGCTCTGTCTCAACCCTATAAGAAACAGTTTCTATCCAGATTGAACTGTGAGGTGTGTGTGTGTGTGTGTGTGTGTGTGTGTGTGAGAGAGAGAGAGAGAGAGAGAGAGAGAGAGAGAGATAGAGAGAGAGAGTAAACTGTGAGGGATGTATGTGTTTGTGTGAATCTGAGGGGTGTGTGAGTGTATGTGTGTCCGTGTGCATCTGTGTGTATAAGGAATGCAAGAGAGGTGTGTGATAAGGGAGGAAGGGGAGACAGAAAGAGGATAGAGCCACAGTTGTGAACAAAGGGACACTGTATTTGGATACCAGTTCTGTGACGTTAGCAGAGACCAATAAGCAGTAACTGCAGGGGCTGAGGGCAAAACTCTTTCTAAGACCTAGGCAGGTGGGCAGTGCACGAAGGTGAGGGTCCTGTGCCATCTACACCACTGAGAGTGGATTGCTTTTCCATCAGAGCTGTCTCAAGTGTGTCAGTGTCCTGTGGGGGACAAGGGAGATGGAGGACATGACCTTCCCTTTTCAAAGGCTACTGGACTCATCGTGTTCAGGTCTTCTGACCAGAACTTAGTCATGTGGCCCTGCTAATGTCGGAAGATTTGGGGAAATTCAGCTTACATTCTCAGAGGTCACATTGTTGGGTCTCTGCTACATTTAAAAAAGACAAGGGTAGGTCTGTAAAATTAATTGATCATCTACTAGAGAAGGAACGTGATTTTAGGAAAGTAGTGTTTTTAATTCATTCCTCAACCCTTCAATATCAAAAACTCTGATGGTACCTCTACAATAAAGACTATGACAGGCTTGTAACTAGAAAGATGAGATTGTCACATGTAGGGCTTGTCTACGCATAATGAGCTATGGGGTTCATGGCAAAGGCTTCAGTTCCGGAAGGTGTGTGGCAGGCTGTTCTACAGCCACCTGGTTTTCAATGACATAGCAGGCTCTGAAGCTCTCCAGAACACGGGCCTGGAAGAAGGCTTTGTCTTTCTCCTGCCAGGCGTCCGACTCAATGTACACATTGAATGGGTCATGCGAGTGCTCCAGCTTCTTGGACCGGATGTAACTCAGCATGATGCCCAGGGTGAAGAAGCCAAAGAAACCCAGCACCATGAGGATGTAAAGAGCTTCCAGCTTGCTGTCATCTCGGAGATGAGACTTGCGAGCCAGGCCCGACACATTGCCACTCTGTTCAGCGGTCTCCTGCCACAGCGTGGTCAGGAAGGGCACCACAGTCGTGGTGTTAGACAGGAACATTTTGGGCTTCAAGTTTTTCTCGGATGCAGAGCAAAATTCCTGAAAGGAAAATGCAACTTGAAATTAAATAATATGAACCAGCCACCTCCTAGCCATGCTAACAGTTCTTTAGAGTCTCAGGTGACAGGGGGAGTTGACGGCCATTCTCCCATGCTGTATGCTGTCAGGGAGTGGACAGTCATCCTCCCGTGGTGTTTACCATCAGGGAGTGGACAGCCATCCTTCTGTGGTGTATACCATCGGGGAGAGGACAGGCCCCCTTCTGTGGTGTATATCATCAGGGAGTGGGCAGACATCCTTCCGTGGTGTATACCATTGGGGAGTGCATAACCATCCTTCCATGGTGCATTTCACCAGGGAGTGGACAGCCATCCTTCTGTGGTGTATACTATCGGGGAGCAGACAGCCATCCTTCCATGGTGTAT